CCTGTGAGCTAGTCAGGAACTACAAAGACAGGATTTATTGTTGGTGGTGTGCACCCAAGACTTCCTAAGCACTCATTTTGTTTTTTTCTAGGCAATTGAATATTTTTAATTGTAATCGCTAATTGAGCATCTGTTAATTAATAACTAACAAAATCACTAAGTTGTAGGCATATAAAAGAATTCAAAGCCATGTATGGTGGCACACACCTGTAATTCCAGTACTCAGAAGGATGACTGCAGGGAGTTGGAAGTCAGCCTGGGCTACATAACGAGATCCTTTCTCAACCCTGCCTTCCCCAGAAAAAACAATCTTCTTTGTTTTTTTTGTTTTTTTTTTTTAATGATTTTGAAATTAAGCACCTAGGGCCAGGGATATAGCTCAGTGGCACCGCACCTGCCTGGTAAGCACAATGTCCTGAGTTTGATCCTTGGTACCGAAAAAAGGAAGAGAGGGAGAGGGAAGGGAGGGGAGGGGATGGAGGAGAGGAGGGAGGAAGGGAGGAAGGGAGGAAGAGAGAGACAGAGAGAGAGAGAGAGAGAGAGAGAGAGAGAGATTAAGCACCTAAGGACTCATTATATACTCTGCACTGTTCCATTATTCCTGCCAACCACATGAAGTAGTACTGATCCCCCTTGTTACAGTTGAAGAAACAGAGGCCCAGGGAGGGAAAGGCATTTGCCCTGGGCCACACAGCTTGCCAGCGCAGGGGCCAGGGTTCACTAGATCTCAAGTTCAGGATTGTGCCCCTGGAAGGCAGTCTATTTTGGGGGATAGTACCGGACAGGGTCTGACTACATAGTCCAGGCTAGCCTTGAACCAACTCTCTGTGTAGAACAGGCTGGTCTTGAGCTCACGGTGATCTTCCTGCCTCAGCCTCTGGAGTGCTGAGATTATAGCTGCGTGCACCATGCCTGGCTTGGAAGCCAGTTTAAAGACCGAACAGTGGGGTATGGTTTCTAGCATGACCAGCACTGCAGGAGACCGGAGAGCAGTGCTGACTGACTGATGCAAGCTACTACTCTCTTCTGAGCAGACCCGGCAGAGGCCCTGCAGCTCCCCATGGACTACGTTCACCGGGTCAAGCGGGCCCACGCTCAGGGTGGCTACGGCTCTCAGGGGTGAGGCAGGCCTGGGGCTGGGGCTGGAGCTGGGGTGGCACGGAGGAGGTGAGGCCCCACTGCAGCACGGCATCCGCCTTCCCCCAAGGTACAAGTACAGCTGGCGGCTGGAGGAGGCCCGGAAGAACGTGTTGCGCACCCACACCACGGCAGCCAGCGCCCGAGCCCTCTACCGCCTGGCACAAAAGGTGCGGCTGGCTGGGCCAGGAGGACCGGGCAGGGGGTCCAGGGCACCCTGCAGGTCTGTCAACCCCTGTCTGGTGATTCCCACCTGCTCTCTTCCCAGAAGCCATTCATGCCTGTCAAATACTTCTCTATTGACCGTGTGTTCCGCAATGAGACGCTGGATGCCACTCACCTGGCCGAGTTCCACCAGATTGAGGGTGTGGTGGCCGACCACGGGCTCACCCTGGGCCACCTCATGGGCATCCTTCGAGAGTTCTTCAGCAAGCTGGGTGAGCGGGCGTTCAGGCCGAGCTGGCCGGGGGTTGTTGGGGGTGGGGTGCAGAGGGCTTGGTCACTGCCTGTGTCCCATTCCTGGCAGGCATCACCCAGCTGCGCTTCAAGCCAACCTACAACCCCTACACAGAGCCCAGCATGGAGGTGTTCAGCTACCACCAGGGTGAGCGGCGCGTGAGGACGGGCACCCCCCTCTCCATGGGCCAGGGTCACCTACATGTGCTGCCTCTGTCCTGCTGTAGGTCTGAAGAAGTGGGTGGAGGTCGGGAACTCTGGGGTCTTCCGCCCTGAAATGCTGCTGCCCATGGGACTCCCTGAGAACGTGTCTGTCATTGCCTGGGGGCTCTCCCTGGAGCGGTAAGTGACCTGCCAAAAAGGGGGTGTCTGGCTACTGGCTCCATCTGCATTCTCACCTTTTTGGCACCAGGGCCTGGTTTCCTGGAAGACAGTTTTTTCACAGGTGGGTGGGGTGGTTCAGAATTAGATTATCGTAAGGAGCCATATCCTAGATCCTGGCCTGTGAACTTCACAGCAGTTTTGAGCTCCTATGAACATTTGTGCTGAGCTGGGCATGGTGGTGCATACCTGTCATATTAGCACTCAGGAGGCGGAGGCAGGAGAATCACCACAAGTTTGAGTTCACCCTGGGCTACACAGTGAAACCCTGTCTCAAAAAAACAAAAAAAAGAAAATCTAATGCTGACCTGACAGACAGATCTCAGGCTGTGATCCGAGTGACAGAAGCAGCAGGAGTGGCTGGAAATAGAGGAAGCTGCACTTCTAGGCTGTGTGTCCCAGGGGTTGAAGACCCCGATCTACATGACAGACTTTTAGCAGGAAGCGCCAGTCACACCCGGCCCTGTGCTGTGTATACACAGGACCGCCCTTCCCTGCCCCCATGGGCTGGGGTCCAAGTCAACAAGAGCATAAGAAGTCAGAAGTCAGCAAAGCCCAGGGTGTGTGTGAGTACAGTGAGCTCTAGAGAAGACAGCAGGACTGAGGTGGTCAGGGAAGGCCCCTGTGCAGACTGAAGGTAGTTGCCAGGGTGATTTCTAGGGTGTCGGGGGAGAGGTTTCCAGGCCAGGGCACAGCCAGTGCAGAAGCCTTGGGGCTGGGAGGGCATGGGTGTCTGGAGAACAGGGATGAAGATGGAAGGCGCTAGGGCGGATGGTGCTGGTCCCTGTGGGCTGCAGCAGGGCTGTGGCTTTTCCTTGAGGAAGGGTATAGAGCTCCGGAGAGTTTTGGGGCAGGGCAAGCTTGACCTGACCTAGGGTCTGTCCCCTGCCTCCCCCAGCCCGACCATGATCAAGTACGGCATCAACAACATCCGAGAGCTGGTGGGCCACAGAGTGAACCTGCAGATGGTCTATGACAGTCCCCTGTGCCGCTTGGACGTGGAGCCCAGGCCCCAGCGGACATAGGTGGCCGCTTGACCCCGGCTGCCCTGCCATCACCAGTGACCCCTCGTATTTCCCTTGTATTTATGAGGCCTCCATGAGGCCAGCCACCCCAATCCCAGGACCAAGGTTCCAGGGCCGGGGAAGCAGGTGAAAATAAAGCAGGCAGTAACTTTATCTACTGTCTTTCCTTGGGGGTCCTATAGGGCCCCCCAGCTCCACAAACTGCTTGATGGGGAAAGAACTGGGTGATTGATTCATGGGTGTACAGGGTGGTAAGTTGGGGCATGGGTCTGGGATCCTCAGAGCCAGACCCTGGCAAGGCTTTTTTTTTCTGGGGATTTTTTTTTTTTTTTTTTTTTTTTTTTTTGTCCCAGGAATCAAATGCAGCACCTTGCACTTGTGAGGCAGGTGGGGTGCCATTGAGCTAAATACCCAGCCCTCTGTTCTTTTTTGTACTGGGGATCGAACTCAGGTTCTTGCACTTGTGAGGCAGGCGGCAGAACCACTGAGCTAAATCCCCAGCCCCTGGTTTGTTTTTTGATACAGTCTTGCTATAAGTAGTCCAGGCCGGTCTCAAATTCCTGGCAATCCTCCTGTCTCAGCTTCCAATGCACTGTGATGGGGAGTACTGGTTCTGTAAGAATTTACTAAGTATCTACCAGCTTCAAGTCCCCTTCCTTCCTTCCTTTCTTTGTTTCCCTTTCTTTTGCCCTCTTTTTTTCTTTCCCTTACTCTCTGCTTTCCTTGCTTGCCTTTTGTTGCAGTACTGGGAGTTGAACCCAGGGTTTCACACTGCAATGTACTCCCAGTCCACTTTATTTATTTTATTTATTTTTTATTTTTTCCAGTCCACTTTATTGATTGATTGATTTTTTTTTTTTTTTTTTTTTTTTTTTTGGTACTGGGGATCGAACTTGGGTCCTTGTGCTTGCAAGGCAGGTGGCAGAACCATTGAGCTAAATCTCCAGCCCTAGCCCACTTTATTTTGAGACAGGGTCTCACTAAATTGCCTGGACTGGGCTTAAATTTGGGATCTCCCTGCTTTGGCCTCCCAGAATCCTGACACATGCACCATTATACTGTGTTCAAGCCCTTTTTGAACAGAGCAGAAACAGAAACCCCTCTCCTGGTGGAGGGGATGTTTGTGATGGGAGGCCCAGGTAGTTCTTGAGGCTTTTGAAACCTGGATTTCCCCCTGACTGGTAGAAGTAGGGGATAGTAGACTGCTCTTAAAAAATATTTTTTTTTGTAGGAATAATGGACCTAAAGCAATTAGTAGGATAAAGCTCTGTAAGCCCGTGGCTCACATCTGAGCATAAGAATACATCTTAAAGGGGCTGGGGTTTAGCTCAGTGGTTCCGGGGCCTGCCTGTTAAGCACAAAGTCCTGAGTTTGATCCCCGCTTCCACACCCACCCACACACACACACACACACACACACACACACAAAATCTTAGGTTTTTTTTTTTTGGTGGGGGGGTTGTACCAGTGATTGAACTCACGACCTTACACTTGTGAGGCAGGCAGCAGAACCTCTGAGCTAAATCCCCATCCCTAAATATTAAGATTTTTTTTTTTTTTTTTTTTTTTTTT